CCCTAAAAGCAATCCAAGTGCAAGATTACCTGTTGATTGTGGTGAGGGTAAGTCATTTGGACTTTTAATGAATCTCTAACCTTTTAAAGATGGAGTAATACAGGATACTCTTGACAGGGAGGTCACCTATATAAGTGTGAATTGAGGGCCGCTTCAATTGTAAACACTTATGAATCCAAAGTGTTGTCCATGGCCAAAACAGACACAACAATAGAACAGAATGGAGTTAAGGCTCTATTGTGTGAATGTCATTGTCTTGGTGTACACTATGGAGGAATAGTTCAAGGCACTATGTCCACTAAGCCGCCAGTACATCCGATGATGTTTACTAAGAAAGGTTCAAAGCCACAAGCTACCTTTTCTGATGCAATAGTCTTGTGAGGATTGAGCACAAGAGTCTGCATACATGCATACATTTGATATCCACTCATGTGGGGGATTGTTGGAAAAATCAGTTATAAAACTTGGGTTTGACCCGGTTTTGACTGAATTTTTTATGGCTCAATATTTAATTTGAGTTGAATTAAATATTGTAGAAAAATTCTACGTTCCGAGTAGATATTCGTGGTATATTTATTTTCTCAAAACTGATTTTCGGTGAGTGAGAAATAAATTGTTAAAGTTAGCCATAAAAGGGCACGTAAAATGTTGGTTGTGTGATTTGAAGGGTCAAGAGTCGCTCCCACATTGGACTCTTAAATGAGTTTAACTCTCTTTATTATAATAAAGAGAGTTAGAGAGGTTACAACAAGCACAAAGTTATGCTCCAAGTGTTGGTGTTGTTTTCGGCCACGCGCGCGCGCGCGGGCTTGGGCCTGGGACTTGGGACTTGGGCCTTGGTCCTTGGTTCTTGGTTCTTGGCAATTGAATTTTGGGCTGGACTTTGGCGGCCTTGGGCGCTTGGGCCTTGGGCCCAATCACTATATATCTTTTTGCTGCAAATTTATTTGCAACTTTAGGCCCAACCAAAAAATCCAATTTGGATTTGGACTCGGGTTTTGACCCAACCCGAGTGAGACCTCTCCATGTACAATGAATCTGAACACATGACCTTTCAAGTGAAATGTAACACCTGACCTTTCATGTTAATGGCTGGTTAATGGTGTAGTAACACCTGAAACGTTTTCAGGTTAATGATGCCCATTTATCTCAGCCTTAAGTGGCTGATGTAACTCCTGGTTCTCCCTCAGAGGTGGAAGTCCTATAAATAGGACTTAGAGCTGCAGAGAAAAGTACATAACATTTTCATGCAATCTGAATACTCTCAAAGCCTCACGCATCATATCATAGTGCTCAGTTCTCGTCTTCGAATCCGTTCGCTGGAACTCTGAAGACTGGTGGCTACAGCTTCCGAGTGTATTGCCGTTGTATCTTTGGGTACATTACGCAAAGACCCGTCAGCACTATACGGGACGTATTTATCTTGCGGAAAGATTTCAATCGCCTCGGCTTTCAATCTGTCTGCATTTGAGTTGTAATTTTTATTTTGTTTTAGTTCTTCTTGTACGATCTAAACACTTTAGTCAGTTCATAGGTTCTCGTTGTAATTCAAAACACAAATTTGTGTAACAAGAGATTTAAAAGATGTAAAGGCACCATATCAAGTTATGAGATTAAGATTGAAGATCGAAAATTGAAGAAGAAAATAAGATAGGAAAGTTTATTCTCAGGAGAAGATAAAACGATTGTACAAAAAGTGTCTTGTGTCTTTAGGGTTTTCCCCTTATATACTAGCACAATGAAGCTGAAAAGTAAAGTTGCTAATGCCTAAAACACACTTGAATAAAAATACAACTCTATATAAAAACAATGAAGATTACAAAAGAATAAAATAAAACATATCATCTATTAAATGGAGAGATGTTCAGTGGAATGATGATATGGACATGAGGTGGATGAGAGAGAGTATAAATTGTGTTTGAATGAATGAGGTGGGACGTGGATGTCTTAGAACATCTACGATGCTTTGTGTCTAATTGTGATTATGTGGCAAGTTAATAAACTTAAGTCTTGGATGACATGGACAAAAATATAAAAAGTAACAAACTTAACTCCAATGCAAAGAGACTAGGGCTATGTTTGGTAAAACTAGCTGATAGTTTATTAGCTAGCTGATAGCTGAT